AGTGCAACAACATATAAACCCTAAAGATGTCGTGGCCCGTCTTAGATTAAGTGCAACAACCTATAAACCCTAAAGGGGTCGTGGCCCTTCTTAGCTTAAGTGCAGCAACGTATAAACCCTAAAGCTGTCGTGGCCCTTCTTAGATTAAGTGCAACAACATATAAACCCTAAAGGTGTCGTGGCCCTTCTTACATTAAGTGCAACAACATATACACCCTAAAGGGGTCGTGGCTCTTCTAAGATTAAGTGCAACAACATATAAACCCTAAAGGTGTCGTGGCCCTTCTTACATTAAGTGCAACAACATATAAACCCTAAAGATGTCGTGGCCCTTCTTACATTAAGTGCAACAACATATAAACCCTAAAGGTGTCGTGGCCCTTCTTACATTAAGTGCAACAACATATAAACCCTAAAGGGGTCGTGGCTCTTCTTAGATTAAGTGCAACAACATATAAACCCTAAAGGGGTCGTGGCCCTTCTTAGATTAAGTGCAACAACATAAAAACACTAAAGGTGTCGTGGCTCTTCTTTCATTGAGTGCAACAACATATAAACCCTAAAGGTGTCGTGGCTCTTCTTACATTGAGTGCAGCAACATATAAACCCTAAAGGGGTCGTGGCTCTTCTCAGATTAAATGCGACAACTTAAAAATCCTAAAGGTGTCGGGGCTCTTCTTACATTGAGTGCAACAAGATATAAATCCTAAAGGTATGGGGCTCTTCTTACATGGACTTGCAACAACATATAAACCCTAAAGGTGTCGTGGCCCTTCTTACATTAAGTGCAACAACATATACACCCTAAAGGGGTCGTGGCTCTTCTAAGATTAAGTGCAACAACATATAAACCCTAAAGGTGTCGTGGCCCTTCTTACATTAAGTGCAACAACATATAAACCCTAAAGATGTCGTGGCCCTTCTTACATTAAGTGCAACAACATATAAACCCTAAAGGTGTCGTGGCCCTTCTTACATTAAGTGCAACAACATATAAACCCTAAAGGGGTCGTGGCTCTTCTTAGATTAAGTGCAACAACATATAAACCCTAAAGGGGTCGTGGCCCTTCTTAGATTAAGTGCAACAACATAAAAACACTAAAGGTGTCGTGGCTCTTCTTTCATTGAGTGCAACAACATATAAACCCTAAAGGTGTCGTGGCTCTTCTTACATTGAGTGCAGCAACATATAAACCCTAAAGGGGTCGTGGCTCTTCTCAGATTAAATGCGACAACTTAAAAATCCTAAAGGTGTCGGGGCTCTTCTTACATTGAGTGCAACAAGATATAAATCCTAAAGGTTTATGCCTGAAGTGAGCCCGGATATGCCTGAAGTGAGCCCAGATATGCCCTAAGTGAGCCCAGATATGCCCTAAGTGAGCCAGATATGCCCAAAGTGAGCCCATTTTATGCCCAAAGTGAACCTCGAAAATTTATGCCCTAAGTGAGCCCGAATTTATGCCCAAAGTGAGCCCCTCGCCACTCAGGACTGCAAGAGGTGTTGTGGATGACATTGGCGAGGAGGGGGCTCGAAAGTCACCAGGGCTAGGGTCTTTGGCCAAGTGCAGAGAGGGCCATTCAGAACGGGATGTCCACAAAGTTGTTGCGAAGGATTACAAACTTTCTTTGCCAATTGACATGACATCCCTACCAAAGGCACCAGGGACCATGTACAGCGGTGAAATCAAAGTGCTTGCAATTATGTCTTGGCTGCGGTTTTTGGTGGATTACAATGTGTGGCATCTACTGTGTGGCCTAAGAAAGGCTGACCCTCCTAGAGAGAGGTCCATTTTGTTGGAGTTTTGGAAACGTTTCCGCAAGCTGCGGCCAACCCATGAAGTCTTCAAACTTGCTGATTCAAATCGCTTGGACCTCAGTCGCTGTGCTCCGCTGATGGTCCACGGCGATGAGGGAAGAGGAAGAAAAAAAAGTGGGTTTCTGGTTCTCAGCTTTTATTCCTACATAGGGTACGGAACCCAACAAGCGAATCAGAAGCGCAAACACCGGGCTTATGACCAAATGCGCCTCAACTACAGTGGATCGACATTTATCCATCGATTTATCACGGCAGTACTTCCCAAAATGCTCAAGGACGAGTGTGCACTGAAGTCAATTTTGGATTTCACTGCTAGGCAATGTTGTCAGATGTTGGAAGAAGGGCTTCGTGATAAAAATGGGCATCACTTCACAGCTTGCTGTTTGCAGGTTTGCGGGGACTGGCAGTGGCTGGTGAAGGCTGGCCAGCTAGGCCGGAGCTACGCCAATTGCCCAAAACGGCCGGTGACTATCAGATCGAGACAAGTTGGCATATGCCACATATGCCGGGGTGGCCAACCAGGTGTACCATGGGAAAACTATCGCTCCAACACTGTTCCAGACTGGTGGGCCACCATGCATGTGGAAAGTCCCTTTGTTGGTGAACCTGCGTTGAACAGAGTCCCATACATAGAAGGGGAACGTGCAGCCTTCTATACCTATGACTTATTCCACAGTTTTCACCTGGGAGTGGGAAAGTCATTTGTAGCTGGGTGTTTGGCCTTGGCTAGTGAATACATGTGGGCCGGAAACGTAGATGCTCGTTTGGAACAACTATCCTCCTTGTGGCTCAACTGGATTGAAGAAAACCATGAATATGCATACATCTACTCCATCACTCGTTCGCTTCTGGGTTGGCCAGACACAGGCACCTATGCAAATGGGCAATGGTCCAAGGGTCACGTAACAACGAAGTTGTGTTGTTTCTTTGAAGCTTGGGCATCAGAACAAAACCTTGAGGAGGATGACCTCATGAGACTTGCTCTGGAGACTTCCAAGAGAATCAGCATGTGCCTACGCAAAATGTATGAATGCGATGTGTGGTTGAACCGCAATGATGCTGAGGTGGTTGCAAATGCTGGGTTGGGATTTCTGGAGGGTTACAAACAACTTGCCCTCCAGTGTTTCAGACTTGGCCGGGCCCTTTTTCCCCACATGCCCAAAGGGCATGCCATGGACCATATTTTTTGGAGTTTGAAAGCTGATTTGGCAAGAAGGGATGTACAGTTTTTTTTGAATCCTTTGAACCACTCGGTTCAGGTATGTGAGGACTGGGTGGGACGTACTAGTCGTCTCGCAAGACGAACAGGACCACCACAGGTGATTCTTAGAGTCTTGCAGCGGGTGCTGCAGGCATGCTACGCGCATTGGCTTGCGGAAGGGTTTATCACTTGGTGATGCTGGGGCGCATAAGTGAAAAATATAGGCTGGCAAATGCTGGCAGTTTTTAGCTGAGGGGTCGGCTTGTGTCTGTGTGCCTGCACCATAAAATATATATCCCAAACATGCATTTGAGGTCTTCTTGGATGTTTTGTTGTTTTGATATGCAGTTTAAGCTGTCTATCTTAGCAATTCTTGGGTGACGACATGGATAAAGCTTTGATGGACTTTTTCACCAAATTCAGCGAAAAGCAAGAACCTGGTTTTTTACCAAGATCCCGTTTATTTTTAAGAACCTACGTTTTGAAGGGATGTTGGCTCTCTTGGTAAACATAAAATAATGCTAAACTTTGACCCCTAAACTATAAATATAACCTTAAACTCTAAACCCTAAACCTAAACCCTAAACGCGCGCTCGCGCGCGCTCGCTACCCCTTAAACCCTAACCCCTAACCCTAAACATTAAATAACTCTAAACCCTAAAACCCTCAATATAACCTTTAACTCTAAACCCTAAACGCGCGCTCGCGCGCGCTCGCTAAACCCTTAACCCTAAAGCTTTAACCCTAAACATAAAATAACTCTAAAACCCTAAACCATAAATATAACCTTAAACTGTAAACCCTAAACGTGCTTCGCAACGACAGCCTTTTTTTTGTTAGCCGGAGAATTTGAATCTGATGATGCTGCTTCGTCAATTGCATTGAAAGGATTAATCTCAAATTCAAAAGCACCACCTGCACGTGAAGCCATGGAAAAGCGTGCCTGTGTTTTGCTGAAGGTCAATGGCGAAGAGTACCGAGTAGAAAAGGAATGGTGGAGAGACTCAGTGCAAGGAGCCTGGTTTTGCAGGCCACTGCTGATTGGCCGTTGGCGAGTGTGGAGCTGGGCCACCTTACGCTTCAAAATCAGTCAAGTGAGTCGTCAGCTCAAAGCCACGAAGCAGAAATGGAACGTATTCAAGAATAAAAGGCCTTCCAAAGTGACCCGCGCACATCTGTGTGCTATTGTACAGAAGTCTAAACGCTAAAAGCGTCGCATGGGCCAGTTTTGCTTACTGACATCGCTCATCGCAGATGTCATCAAGCCAACGTTTCCGGAAATTACTTCCTGGACATATCAGAGCAAATTTCAGCTGTGCAAAAACGGTGGGTGCATGAGTTTGTTTGCCTGCAGGTGAAAGTTCATATGAAATAGAGTCAAATCGTGCAATGTAACAACAACAACAACAACAACAACAACAACAACAACAACAACAACAACAACAACAACATTAACAACAACTGCGACGACTACTACTACTACTCCTACTACTACTCCTACTACTACTACTACTACTACTACTACTACTACTACTACTACCACTACCACTACCACTACCACTACCACTACCACTACCACTACCACTACCACTACCACTACCACTACCACTACCACTACCACTACCACTACTACCACTACCACTACTACCACTACTACCACTACTACTACTACTACTACTACTACTACTACTACTACTACTACTAATACTACAGCTACTACTACTACTACTACTACTACTACTCCTGCTGCTACTACTACTACTACTACAGCTACAGCTACAGCTACAGCTACAGCAACAGCAACAGCAACAACAGCAACAACAACAACAACAACAGCTACAACAGCTCCACACAGCACCAACAACAACACAAAAAGAAACCAAGAAACCGCTATACAACGCCAAGTCATGGGCTGCGGCGCGGATCAGACTTGTCCTGGCCTGCTGCGACGCCTTAGTATCATTCAGAAGCAACCAGATGTTTGTGGCGGATCTGATGCGTGTGAGGAACCTCTTTTGAACAAAGGTCCTCAAGTATGGCTACGTATATGCCACAACCGCGCCGATGCCTTAAGGAGGCGCCAAATGTTGGAAGAGAGGACGCCCAAGACGCTGCAACAACTGGTGGAGGCGGGGTTCACGGCACAAGAAGCTTCCTACTTCTTGGAGTCACATGCGAAGGCCAAGGAGAAGCAGGGCTGGTTTCGACGCTGGGACGCATCAATGCCTCCCATGGTTCGACAACATCTGGCATCCTTAACGCCCAACGGCATGGCGTGCGAATTCCCTTGCCGCCACTGTCTCGACCCTTGGAGTCGCTGCCGGCAAATTGCCCCGAACTTTTACTGGGAACTGACTTCCATTCTGATTGGCTACAAGTGTGTCATCCGCATCCACGAGACACACACATCCGCTTCGTGTCGGAAGGTCACAAGTATTTTGTGGACAACGAGCCCTTTGATCTTTCTGTTACTAGCTTTGTCTGTACCTTTTCAGAGGACTGTGTCGGATACTGTCTTAGGGTCTGTTGGTTTAAGATGATTGATGTTGTAAACATTTTGGAATGTAACACCGCAATGAGATGAAAATAAGTTCTGGGAACAATTTGCCAGGAGTTTGACGCAGACAACGCTATCGAGATGATGATGTCTGGTGCTCGTTGGCCTCGTGTAGAGTACATGAATGGCATCAAAAATGGAAAACTCGCTCATCCTTGTTTACAAGTTCCTGACTTGACAGCATTGGGCGCCGTTCTCGCGCAGCCTTCCCTAAACTTAGCGCACGCAAGCCATTGTCTGCGCAGCACATTGGATGGTTGCTCTGCTGAATCACACGCCCTGCTTGCGAGCCACATTATGTCTCCAGCTGAAATCAGGGAACATTGGGCCCTAAAAGCGCAGATGGCATCGCATGCAGGGACGTGGACCCATCTCCAGTGCGAGTGTGTCTTGAACGGTGGGGCCATCAAAGGAACTTGTGCTGAGATGGACCTGCTACGTACCTTTGTCGGCCGCACTCGGCCTCTGCTTGCCTTCCGTACAGAGTGGTGCATCTGGGCTAGCGATGAGAGGTTGGCAGGTTGCATCGACTTCGCAGCAATTGACGAGAAGGGACACCTTGTGTGCCTTGGTTTCAATGAGATAGTCATACAAAGTGTGCCGCAGTGAACAAATGGTTTAAGAGGGAACCCCATTCTCTGCGTTGATGCCTCAGGCTAGTTGACTGGAAGCGCACCAAGAATTTGCAGAACAAGTTCCAAAACCCTTGGCGCGCACTGGCGGAGCCGTTGGAGCACTTACCAGATGCGCAAGGTGTGAAATACCACTTGCAACTCAAAATTTACCGGTTCATCATGGAAAAGTATTACGGGTACGTAGTTTCTTCGATGTTCGTTGTATGTCTTCACCCTGAGCTGCAAGATGGGCCTTGGGTGAATGAGGTCCCTGCAATGCCCGCTGAAATTTGTGCTATTATGCAGTTACGTCGTGACCAGATTAGAAGACAAGGCTGCGGGTCTCCTCATATATCTGGGACGTTACCAATGGATGTTTCCGGTGGGGCTGCCAACTTTGCAGAAGATGGTGCCTGGAACAGGTTTAAGTTGCTGCGTGCAGTTGTGTTTTTTCCCGGCGGCAGCGGTATATTGTGTACTATATATCCATCGGGATGCAAAGAATCACAGTCTCCAACACACAATCGGTGGTGGAACATGAAACGTATGAAACGATGCAGCCGCTGGTTGCGGGTATATATATAGCATAGGATGAGGAGGGTTCCTGGACAGACGTGAGATAGCACCTTGTTGCCCATTCAGACATTCTACATAGTCTAGTGTGTTTCCAAATCAGACAGCAGCTTATTGCTCATTCAGCTATTCTAGAGTTCAGCAGGCAGCAAATGTCGAGTTGGACGGCTTGCGTTTGCTCAGGTGAAACTCGGTTTCCAGACGAGGACCACCTCGACGAGCAGCAGGAGCAGGAAGATGCAACCCAACCTGCCCTGACTGGCAGCGCACCAGCACGCAGTTCTGCCGCAAATGCGCGTGCGAGCTCGCCCATTGGCCCATCTCCACGCACAGCAGCAAAGTCGACAGCGAAAAAGAGGAAGGCAGAGGACAGAGGCCAGCCAGAGGAAGCGGAAGAGGAGGTTAAGCAGGAGGGGGTGGACCCTGCCAATGGCGAAGAAGAAGCTTATGAGAAACTCAAGTTCAGAAGGATGTTGCCAGGGGCTGCAACGTCAGACAAAGATTTTGACGACTTTTTCTTGAACCTTGCGGTCACAAATGATATCTTTCGTTTGGAGCCAGCAGAGGAGATAGACACATCGGACACAATTTTGCACAAAGTCCGCTTGTGGACAGGCTCGGTGGCAGATGTCATGTCAGCAAATACGCCTGACTATATTGTACGGTTGTGTGTTGGAATCCTTGCCTTTGGAAAGGCTAGACAAGCAGACATCTTCCTCCGAGAGCACGCGCTGCTTTATTGGATCGCAGAAGGAGGACGTACCCTTCGCTTTCATTCTGGTGACTGTTACATGAAGAGTCCTAGCGGTGCATTTCAGCAGCACCGAGGAGTGCCTCCTGACCATGATAGGGTCCAGATGTTTTTGATGCATTTATATAGACGGAATTTTCCGCCGGATGCCTAGAAATACACAAAGGGCTACGAGGAACCTTCTCACTGCCGTTGAACGGATGTTTGCAGAAGCGGACGGTGATCAGGTTGCTTTTCTCACTGCCTGTGTCGATGCATGTTTGAACTTTGAAGGTGATGCTTCTGCACGGAAAGGACAAGGTAAAGGAGAGGAAGACGACGTAGCACCGCCCAGAGGTCCATGGACTGCAGCAAGTGCCAAAACTGTCTTGGCGGTAAAGAAGCAATTGTCGTACGAACTCACACAAGATAAACTGTTGCACTACATGTGCGAGTGGTGCGATACCCCCAAAGTAGTTGAAGGAGCGTGTTGCTATGAAGACTGCTGCATCAAGTATGACTTTGAGGAGTCTGCCGCAAAGCAGGTGCAGCGAGCTGCCCTCACAAACTGCTATTTGCGCATTCCGCACTGCCTGAAAGGCACCATTCCACAGAATGTTGTTGATCGCCTGCGAAAATTTTATGCGCAAACCTTTTGGGGCAACATTGACGTTTTCAAATGTGGCCAGGCGGCACAGGCATTAGCCAAACGAGGCATCAATGTCGTTCGCCTCTTCATCGGCCTGTCGAGTGGGGGCGTTGGCCAGTCCTTATACTCCACGCACCTGGAAGCCATGTACGTTCACAATTTCGCATTCTTCGACCCGAACATATGGTACAACGAGGAGGAAATGCGAAAACAGGTTGAGCAGCTGAACGGATGCATGATTTTGACTGGCCAAGAGACGCCTGGAACTGGGAGCGCCTTGGCAGCGAGTCTACTTTCTGATGTAGAATTGAGTGTGGTGGTTCGTGCTTGTGACCAAAGATGCATGGGTTTCCCAGGTTTCCGGGTCAGACGCCATTAAACGCCAAAGTCTCAATGTTAAGGTGCCTAGTGTGTTTTACACTGTCCTCAGGAAAGCTGCGCGAAGATCTCTTCAAGAAATTCGCGTCTGCCGATGGTATAGCTGGCCGCAAGCCCTACAGCTTTAAGACACGCATGATCCACTGCATTTGCTGGAAGCGATTAGAAGCGAATCGCATGTTCCACTTCGACGACGTGGACGCCCGCAATTTTAATGCCATTCTGCGGCGGTCCTTCGTCTGGCGAGTGAAAGCCCACTTCGAAGATCCACATGTGATTGCGGAGGCCTACGAAGATATTCACAAGGACGGCGTCTTTCCGAAAGACCCTGACCTGGCAGTTTTTCTTACGTCGCCGCCTGCAGTGGGTGCGGGATTGCAAATTCAACATGCCTTCGAAGCGGAGTACAGCAAGCAAGACTGTGTGAACATGATTGAAAACTATGTCACATGGGGCGGAGATGGTGGCCTGACCGAAAACACAATGAGAGCTGCCTGCAGGCTGCCGCTAAAAGATGTTCGGGCAGTTGGAAGCAGGGCTGCGGCGGTGATGGTTGTTGATGAACCAGACGAGGATGTAGATGAGCGCGAGAGCTGGCTCACACTTCGGAAAGCAATGGTTGACTTTTTGTTGATCAGGAAAAGACTGTTTCCGTCACAAGCTTTCTTGCAGAACATGAACGTCCGAGGAGGCCCGAATGTGGCAAAAAGTTGCTACTTTGGAATCACTGCTGGCGAGAAACTTTGTCCTCAAGTGCGCTTGCTCCGCTGCCGGAGGAAAGGCATCCGAAGTCTTCGTACCATGCCTGACATTGAAGACCAGTCTGGACACAGTGATTCAGCACAGGGTCCGGGAATGTGATCTGCAGCTTCCGGAGTCATATGATGTTGAGGCTTTTGCGACGTACTTGCACAGTCACCTTCATCGTCGAGAGAACGTTCAAATCTTTGCAGCTTTTTGGAAGCACATGAGCACAGCAAAGCACAAGAAAGCTGGCAAGCCGACAGCGCAAAAGAAGCAACGAAAGGCAGACATGCTAGGCAAAGCTCAGCATCTTCTTGATGCAGAGAAACATGGAGATGGTTTGTTGGAGAAGTTTCACGCAACAACAAAAAGGAGAAGAACCGCGCACAGGATTGAAGAGGTGAAAACAGAGGAAGGAGAGAAAAGCAAGGCTAAGGGCGCTTTGGCTTCAGTAACGTGCAGCTACCACTATTCTGGGCCCACCACGCTTCGCACTCGGAAGCAGGCTTCGGAGTTTAGCGCACAAAGAATGAGTCGACGAGTGCAAGCTGTGATTTTGCCACACACGCACGACCTAGACATTGAAAACAGCCTCTTCACCTTGATAGCGCAGTTGCTGGAGAAACTCGATGTGGATCCGGCCATGCCTGCAGAGGCGCGGGAAGCTTTAGATTTGTGCGCCCAAAACCGCGCACGGGTTTGTGCGGAAATTTTGTCTCTACCTGGCTCGCGTGGAAAGCAGTTGCTCGTCTCCACTTTCTACGGCGGGTCTGTGTCGCCAGAATTGCAAAAGCTGGACTTTGTACACAACTTGAAAAAAAAATCGGTGTATTGCAAATGTGTAGCTATTTCGTGTCTTTCTGATGAGTATCGCGCCTTTCTGCAGGATAGCAAAAAAACCCATCCAGAAGGGTCACTTCTATCATACCTCTACACTGCCTGTGAAGATTTTATTCTTTCTCATTGGGTCCCAAGAGTAATGCTCTGTGGGGGGGTACGGTCCTCAAAAATGATTGTACGGTGAAGGGTGCGGTACGTTGGGTACGGTGGTACGGTACGGTGGGTACAGTGGGTACGGTACGGTGGGTACGGTGGGTACGGTACGGTGGGTACAGTGGGTACGGTACGGTGCGTATACGGTGGTACGGTACGGTGGGTACGGTGGGTATACGGTACGGTGGGCGCAGGTACGCACCCACCGTACCCACCGTACCGTACCCACCGTAACATCGTACCGTACCCACCGTACCTCCCGTACCCAGCGTACCCACCAGCGTACCCCCCGTACCATACCCACCGTACCCCCCGTACCCACCGTACCCACCGTACCCCCCGTACCCACCGTACCCCCGTACCGTACCCACCGTACCCCCCACCGTACCGTACCCACCGCTACCCACCGTACCTACCCCGTACCCACCGTACCCCACCGTACCCACCAGTACCCACCCCACCCGTACCGTACCTACCCCCACCGTACCCTCCGTATAGCCGTACCCCACCGTACCGTACCCACCGTACCCTCCGTATACCGTACCCACCGTACCCACCGTACCGTACCCACCGTACCCACCGTACCGTACCCACTGTACCCACTGTACCGTACCCATAGAAAGTGTCATATGTACCTACCCGTGCTGAATCATCAGAAAACATGCTTTTCATTCCTCTTGAAATTAGATAACATTGGGTGCAATTCTTGATGGAGACCTTTCACCCTCAGCACCTCTCTTTGCATTATGATGGGGTCCGGATTAGCACTGTGGACGCTGTTTCTATAGCAGATGTCTGCACGCAGAGTGAAGCCTACATCAAGCGGATGACAGGCTTCGAAGTCCGCATTCGGGAAAAGACTCACAAGCTTGTACTGCAGGCCATGAAAGAAGCTGCCGTCGCAGGTCCTGCTGTTTACGCAGCTGACGACGTGCTGTGCAAAGCAGGGAACTGCATTCCACATGCGCTGGCGTGCCTGGAAATGCTGGAGCCAGGTCACATGTATATGCTCAACAATGGGACAGACCAAAACAAAGTCTACATATGTCTACATGCAGCAGCGTGGCTCGCGCACTTACAGACAATGCATGAACATGTTTGGCTGTTCTTTCTCCGTAGCCTTGCTGACGGACGGGGAAGTGCCCGAAGGCAAGTTCCTACTACATTGTGAAAATGGTGGGCGGCCACATTGTGTGGGAGTGCATGTTACGCAGGAGTCAGAAGAGGTTGGTCAGCAGGTCACTATGTGGGATGTTGATGGTGTGTATCGGCTAAGCGTGGCTAGCTTCACCGACGCTTTGTTGCGAGGAACTGATGCTTCCACCTCTGTAGGTTTTTGGTTGCAGGCAGACAAATCGGAGGACTTGGATGAAGCTCTCGAAAGGCTGCTGGACTTGGGAGCAGTGAGGAGGAAACGGTCGCGGAATCCTGTGATGAGATGCTTGCAGAAAGTTGTATCCTGAAGGAAGGTGGAGTGCAGGAAGAGGAACCCTTCGAATGGTTGGACGAGGAAGGGGCCGTTGTTGTGGAAGAGGCTTTACTAGGCAAGCTCCAGGCAGAGGTTGACGAGTGCGTGACCAAGTCAGCTGATTGGAAGAGTAGAGGCACCATGCCTTGTCCACTGTGTCCTTTTCGCACGTTCCATCGCCGAGATCACTGGGAGCGCCATGCGCGCAGGTATCACAGCAGGAGACAGCAATACTGTTGTTCAGGAACGAAACAGCTAAGTATTGTGATCGCTCTCCATGATGCGGACCAGCTGCACCGACGCAGAGGCCGGAACTATCTCCAAAGGTCTGCAGATGTGTTGCGCCGATCTGTTCGACCAGCCCTGTCTGCAAAATGCAATGCCATCGACAAGCACATCCGGCTGCTTTTGGATGGATCTGGACCTAAGGTGGTGCATGCTGAATATTTAAAGGCAGGCGTCACTGCTCGCCGAGTTGGACGACTGTGGTACACCCATTCCTTTGCTGAACAGGTGTGGCAAGAAATGCTGCTTCACCATGGAAAGGCCGGTGTGACCAGACATGCAGTGTCATTGTTCAAGGCCAGGTCTAGGTTGTATTGCAAAAGCAACATGTCCGTGACAGTGACCCCGTGCCGGTGTCCAGGCGGCAGCGCTGCGGCCTCGACTACTGGTGAAGGCATTGAACGCAGGCAACCACATCGCAACGCTCTTACCAACACATGTCAATGCATGGTGGCCCCTTGTGGAAGATATTTTTTCATCGGCCGCATGCCAAAGTCTCCGGGCCGATTTGCTGGAGAAAGCAATTGCGCATGGTGAATGTTCCTACTTGTCCGTGGATGGCACCTTCAAGGTTTGCTTGCCGGTGATGGGCCAAGCGAACTTCAATGCTTGCTGGTGTGAGGGCGAGCTTTCCATTTCAGGACCATGTTAAGCAAAACTTGTAGCATTTTTGAATCAATAGTCGCTTCTGAGGTTGTCTCCTGTCTTCGTGTTAACAAATATTGTCTGAACAAACATGCAGGACGGTGAGGCTTACACGCGGGTGCTGTCTGTGCGAGGTCGCAGTGGGGCCGTTCTTGCATTAGAGCCTTCTGTCGGAGAAAGCCCTCCACACATCGTCGCTTGCTTGCAGACTTGTTTGCCCCAGGCAGGCCTTCTGCAAGTAGAACATTTGGCCACAGACAGTCCGAACGAAAATTTGCTGGCTGAGTTGACAAATGTGTGTCCCAACTTGAAAGCCTTGTCGTTGGATCCGACCCATGCAGCCATGAAGTACGAGCAGGCATTGGTAGGGAAAAGATCAGCTGGTTCCAGATTGCTGCGATCTTTCTTCGTGAAGTTCACGGCGCACGACCCGAATGTAGAAAGCAACATTTGGGGCCCTTTCTACGCAGGCGGGCCTGTGCCTGAGGTACGGCAAGAAGCTAATCTGCGGCAGCACATCTTGGATGTGTCCATGTCTAAAGCCCGAGCCCGCCGGATTTTGCAGAGTGCTGAGCAGCTTCTGATTTGGCCGACTCGCATTCAGTTCATAGAAGCAGTGGCTGCTTTAGCAGCGCTGCATTCAGATGATATGCAGAAAAAGATTGACGGTTCGAAGTTCACTGTGGCAAAGTTCTTATACAAACTTACAGCTGCAGACAAAGTCGAATGGCTGACCAACAACTTACGCTACCGACAGTTTTTGCCTGCATCTCGGAGGATCCTTCTCCCGAGCGGAACAACTGCCAACGAGGCACTGCATGCAGAGCTAAATGCATGGTACAAACAGGTGCAGCAGATGCACCGAAGCACCCTTGCTTTGAAACTGGGTATGCAAACGATCGGAAAGCTGCTTAGCCACCAAACAGCGCTGCATTGGCCTACAACAGTGCAAATGCCTCACGCCATGGTCCTGGCGGCAGCTACAACGAAGCCACTCTGCAGGAGCAACGCGAAAGCGGAGTAGAACCATTGCAGCGCCTTGTGCAGAAAAAACGTGACAAGGAAAGAATTCGCAAGTTCAAGCGGCCTGCATCAACAGAAGTTCGCCAACGCAAGCGAACTCCGTTCACTTTGGAGCGAAGAGCTGGAATTAAACGAACCGGCGTCCACACAAGAAAGTCTCACATGTGGCAGTGCACGCCATCTGCACCGAGAAGCAAGAATGTTGGCCTTGATTTTATCCTTGGAAGTGCTTGTTCAGGTTTTGATGTTCCAGGATCTGTATGTTGTGTTCATGTGCTGCCTACCGGAATCTGGACAGTTGTTGTGATTCACACAAATATTTGTACGGATGACGCCGTGCATTGAGCCGGATTTTGCCAACTCTCTCTTGCAGCTACTCTTGGTAATGATCTTCATTGTCTAGTGTAGAACAAACTTGTGGTTCAGTTCATGGCAGGAAAAGACATGCTGCTTCTTGCAGACCGTTTTTGCATGGCACAGCTTTCGCAATCGTCAGCATGGCTGAAAAAGCCCGCTGCAAGGGTTTGCCCAAATAGACCCTGTTTTTCCATGCCACGAGGATCTCCCAGTCGACGACATTGCGGATCTTGTTGCACAAGTGGTTGCGGATCTCCATCCAGTCCATCGACAAGTTGGTGAAGTCCATGTCCGGCGACGGGAGGCCATCAGCAAGTGCATGCCCCCGGAGATACTTTGACTTTTTTTCTGGGATTTCACGGAGACGGCCGTTGGCATTGATGTTTTTGTATGGGATCCTGCCGTTCAAGTCGGTGGGATCAAGCCACACTGCATCTTCAAGTCTCTCCTTTGCCTGCTCCAACTTGGTCTTTGCAGCATCGTCGATCTTCCCAGCCGGGGCCTTCGCCGTGTGATGGCTCAAAGGCATCTTCTTCGCCTCTGGCTTGGGCTGGTCCGATGATGATGCATGTTCAGCAATGTTTGCAGGCCTTCCGGCGAGCTTCGGTCCCTCTGCTGTGACAGTGTCTTCAACATCGATGACAGTCTTGGTCTCTTCGACGTCACCCTTTGTCTCAACAACGTCATCAGGCACAGGGTCCCCCCCGGCAGTGGCCTCCGCAATCTCAGGCGCCTTGGACTCTTCAGGCAGGCCCTCAACCTCAGGGTGGCCGGTCTCTGGCTCTTCAATCACCATGACATTGTCCAGATCGAGTCTCGGCATCGTCCTTGGTCTCGGCCTCGTTCTTGTCCACGTCCATGGCGTCCTCCGGGAGAGTGACAGCTTCAGGAAACTCATCAACAACCTCGATTCCATCATCATTGTCCGCCCCGTAGTCCACCTCAGTGTGACCCTCGACATTGTCGTCTCGGTCAAAGATGTTGTGAACGATGTCGGGGCGAGTGTCGTCGACGGTCTCCCACTCGTCAATTCCTGGAATGTTCTCGGTGGCTTCACTGTGAACTGGTGACCAATCTGCGTCAGCTGCATTGTCGAAGTCCTCCTGAAGATGTTGTCTCAGACGCACTTCCTCCTCACCTCAGTAAAGTCATTTGCCTTCGGCGCACCCTCCCGGGTGGCTTCATCCTCTGCAACCTCATTCAGCTCGGCCATGTGGTCCATGATCTGCTCATCTGCAGTTTGGGCCTCTTGGGCAAGCGAAGTAGGCAATGCCACAGGATTGAGAGCCTCCCGCACCTGGGTGGTCTTGGACAGGGCAAACTTGAATTGCGCCATGGGGTACTGGTACACAATCTTCATGCGTTCTTCTGGGTCAGGATCAAGAAATGATGCCTTCTGCCTCAGGACTTGTTCCAGTTCTTCAATCTTCATGACGATAATGCGCGCCCTCGCCATTGATCTCAAAAATTTGATCATGAGAGTGCGATTGAGGGGCAGGTCAGTCATGTGAAGGCGATCATAGCGGATGCTGGCCATCGAAGGCATACACGTCGACACACATCGAATGCCTCCTTTGATGAGGTGCTCAAAGCATCTGCCCATCTCGATGGCATAGGATGGTGGCAGACCATACGCGTCTGCATCACCGCATCCAAACACAACAATGTCACGGATCAAGGTGTGACGCCGCAACTTGATGAGATCATCCATTGCATTGATCACCCGTGCATGTTGCTTCTCCACAAATTCGGCAGCGACCTTCCAGTCGGCAGGTGTCTTGCTGTAACGGGATTGATGGATCCAATTGCATCCACGGTATCCATAATCTCCGTAAACATCATTACCTGCCCAACCGATGAGGATGAGTGTTGGGATTTGGGGGATTCCTTCATCAGCACATTTGGCAGCAATTTCATCCATAGCTTCCCAAATTCCCGTGTTGATGGATCCGAGTCCCTGTCCCCAACGCATTTTCCAACGGACTTTGCGCACACCAGTAGGCGGCGATTGTGCAAGAATCTCCCCCACGCTGATCACTTTCCGTTTCTTGGGATCATCCGGATAGTCGACCAGGGCAGTGGAGGAATCACCGATCACGAGCACACTGGGGAACAGCTTCAAAAAGCTTGAGGATACCCTTGTAGGACTTGGAATTCTTCTCGATGTCCGAACAAAGGCACGTATCAATGATGATGTCCACCGGCTGCTGGCTCCCGCCGAGCGTCTGAACCCCTGCAATGGCGTCTTCATATGCGACAGAAATGCAAGAGGACCTCAGCTCTTTCAGGCGGTTCTCCCACTGGATGATCCGTTGGTACACCGTGACCTTCTCATCGTCAGGAACATGGTGCGCCAGCGTCTCAGCGTTCTCAGGTGGTCCAGCCATGACAGTCAGAGGACAAAGGCGAATTGCAACAAGCGAGTGGTGAGCTTCAAAAGTAGCTGATCGGAAGACCGAGTGAACAAGGTCCGTCATGATGAACGTGTACCTTTCTGTGGCCTTAAGATCTTTGCCTCTTCCTTGAACGTGTTCATGTGAGTGGTCACATTGGAACTTCGAAAGCTCACACCCCAATGATAGCAAATTTGTGGCAATGGTCCAAGGCTTCTTAATTGGTATTTCGTCCTTGTTTCTTATTCCGACCATACATCCGTGGAAATTGAATGCAATCAGTTGTCTTGAGTTCAGAAACTGTGCAACCTTTCTCAACTTCCAGTATCGACAATTTCGGGGCCATTCAATTGCAATAAATATATACTTCTTTCTTCAACAACGACATAAAATGCAGGAAGGCTTTCCAAAGTCCATGGAAGATCTTAACATGCCTTCTGACTTTGGCCGCAGCTGAGGGGTGTTTAAGGTTCACAAACGACCATGATGTCCCCCCCGTGCAAGGTATACTGACCCAGACAAGTACTTCACCATCAAACTCATTGATTTGTCTGGCAATTTCCTTTCGAACATTCACATCGAAGAGATCACTCTTTTCAGTAAACTGCAAGATGTGGCAACCCTTTGACACTTCACGGGATTCACTTAACCTGGATTCCTCGTGGCAACAGACCTCCACCAACAATCGATTAGGCTTCGGACCGGCTCGGAGTTCCCTCGAGCAGTCAGGCGCGGCAGCAGCCTGGTTTGGTCCGGTGGTTTTTAACTTCTCGTTCTTTGGACACTTGGGGATGACCTGGACATGGGACAATAACATCAAAGCAAATTTCTCGGAGTTTGTGAAAGGCTTTGTAAGGATGTCCGCAGCCTGCATCATAGAAGGTCCATGAACCAGTTTATACCACCGTCTCTTAAACTGCTCACTTAACCAAGATAAGTTGACCCGTTGAGTCTTGTCGGTATGTCTGAAAGTTGGGGACTTGCCATTTTCCAAGACTTTAATTGTTGCCTGATTGTCTTCAACGAAAACTCCTTCAAGGCTCTTTGGGGGAAAAAGGGAAATCATATTTTCACCCATTCTTTCCATACCTATGAATTCCCAATCTGTGAGTGCTTCTCTGAGCTCATGAGACTCCACGTTGTAGTCCACCTCGTACGGGCCGTAGACCCTGAAGTAGGTCTTGCCCTCCCAGATGTCTCCCGATGTAGAACTTCGATTCCGTCTCCGATGGTCCTGACGGAAGTCGATGCCATCCTTGGTGACCATCAACGTTGTCCTTGCATTGCCAAGGCGATGAACTGGCAAAGGAATCGTTTTACTAGATGTCGGGTCAAACAGGGATGATCTACTCTTGGGATGCACTCTCACTAGAAGACGTCTGTGTCTTATGAATTCCCAGTACTCACCATCTTTCTCCTTTTGGGTTGTCATTGAAGTGTTCGGCAATCCTCCCGTCATCTCCCCCCGCGTTCTGGAGGTACGCCCATAAACCGGAGGAAGGTAGACCTACAGCACGCAGGGATATGTTTGCTGCAACTACTTCAGACTCAGTACTGGACATGGACACGGATGTCTGCTTCTTGGAGAATGCCGTTAATGGGAAGTACGTATTCGGCCCAATTAGTACAAGGAAACAACCGGTGGTATTACGGTTATCGTATTCCCCGGCATGGTCTGCATCAGCAAAACACCACAGACGGCACTTGCTCAAAGGATCACCTTTGAAAGCCTTCAACTTCACATCTATTGTTGTGTCAATGTAACAGACAAGTCGATGTAATGCTCGGTCGCAATCAGCCGACCATTTAGTCACACGAGCTGCTAAGCCTTGGACAGCTCGAAGGAGGTCGTATCTTGCCATTCGTGCTGCAAATAATATCTTCATTAATATTCTTGCTGCTATTGGGGCAAGTACTCCCTTCTTTTCAGACTCATCTGTGACGGGCCTAGCTATACGTTCTTCGTGGAACGGTGTAGCAACCTTTTTCATCGGCTTGGCATCCCTACCAGCAAGTTGGACATATCGGTCAACACATGATTGCAAGAAGGGCTTCATATCGTACAACATGACTGTGACTGGTTTTGTCATACACGGTTGATCTTCAAATAGTTGATCTAAGTATGAAAAACCTTGTGCTCTGGCTTTCTTTTTGGCTTCACCTTTGTCCCTCTTAATTGATGCCAGTGCGGCCTTGGGATCTGCACAATTCTTGGTAAACAAGTATGTTGCGCCCACCCACATGTTGGCATGCTTCTTTCCCTGGGTTAACCTGCCTGACTCATCAACATATTGATCCCATTCAGAAATGGCATCACCTTCCGGTGAGCTGCACATTGCATCGGTATAACGGATGCTCGACAACTCACAGTCTCGGATGACATCTTCGTCAGGCACGTAGTATCCCTTTCGGGGCTGACAGTGGTGTCGAATGTATATACTCCCCGTCCTGGCTCGACTTCCCAAAATTCTTGAGTCCTGTGCGCTGCGGCGGCGGATTTCGCGGCCGGGTCAGGCAGTGACTTGTCGAAAAGGTAGGCAAACGGATGATCATCTTTAGAAAGGAAAACATTCTTTTCTTGAACATGATCGCAAGAAAAGATATCGATTAACTTGCCCGGGCGTGTCCATGTCAATCTTGGATGCAATGAGTTTCCAGCCCTTCGACATTGACTCTATGGGTCCAGCCATTTTGAAGTCATCGACATATACCACTAGCAGAAGCTTGAGTTCAGGATGAAAGAATACAGACGGCCAGCCTTCCGGATCTGGCATTATGAATCCCACTGCTTGGAGCATAGCTTCACAATGGCGCTCCCACAGACCCCCCGAATCGGGGTGCCCGTACAATGCGATTCTCAATAGTACCACAGGCCTTACAAATCTTCCAACCCAGTCTTTAGGCCAACGATCACGGGGAATTTCAACCCATGTCTCAATACCCTCCATTAGTGCCTGAGTATATGCTTGTACCCCATCATTTTGTTCAGCTGTATGGCCCGGTTGGGATCCGTACGCGTCGACAGCCTTACCTGCTTCCATGGTAGCTGGTGACGACCCTAACTCCGAAAACAAAGCTGTGTCAGAGTTTTCATCCATCACATTGTTACCCTGGAAAACAGTTCTCCCCTTAAATTTTCTAAGCTTATGACCTTCGGGGAGTTCACTGCCCATTTCAACACAGATTTCAAATACCTTACCAACATGAACTTTCTTGCCAGATTTCTTTGCCTTATCTGAAACAGTCTTCCATTCGGCTACCGTGTCATATAACCAGGCCGTCTTTTTGACCAGTTTATTCCATTCAACATCCAATGCCTCTTGGGCCTTGGGACTGGACCTGATCTCCTTTCTGTTGACGGGTCTGGCTACTAAGGTGTTGATAGCCCTTTCACCACTTTGGATACTAACCCTGGCTAGCTTGACACGATGCCGTTGTTCAGAGTAGGCACAAGTAGGCATGATGGGAACATCACATTCTTCATATGCACTGTGGAGTTGATTGATGATACTTGTTACTCCGGGTTTCTTCTTCTCAAGTCTTTTCAACTCGGCCTCGGATCTTGCCTTGAGTTTCTTCTCGGCTTCCTTGGCGGCGATTTTGACCTGTTCCTCCCGGATGGCAACACGTCTGGCCTTGATAGACAATTGCTTGCCAAACAAAGGGTGGAATGTCCCTTGGTTTACTGGATTTGCTATATCTTCTAGCCTTGAATCCCCCCGCATCATAGAAAGTGGGATCATCCTTTGATATCTTTTCCACTTCACCAGTCTTTGGGTTAATGACCTCAACTAAGTTGTCGCCCTCCTCAACGGGTTCTGGGATCACTTCCGGAGGCTTCTCACAAAGTTCAATGGGTTCTTTTGAGAAGATAGTGGTCATTACCTCACATGGTAGTGTTCCCTCGGTCAAGTCCCCGTCAGGTGGATCAATACTCAGATTGGATTCAAGCACATGCCATACTCCATCCAATTTATAGCAAGTAGTTCGAAAGGGAAATTCTTCAGTTTTGAACTTGCTAGTAGGCCCGATGAAATTCTCAGAGAACTCCTTGACATTTATGTGAGCATCGGCATATTCATACCAACCCTCTCGGTTGTCAACATGTCTGAGAAAACCTAGCCATCCCGGATTATAGACAGCACTGGCGCTTGATGATTGAGGCATTTCCCCGTCTTCAATTTGTTTCACAGTCGGCTCTGGCTCCCGCGCAGGCTTTGCATCTTGATCGGAGAGGTCGCGATCGACCCCGTCGTCGTCATCTTGCTCATCGGATGCAATGCCCTTGACTTGAGCTGGCCGGTTGGCTAGGGGAAAGACGATATCCTCTACTCGATTGATCTTGATTACTCTCATGATTTGTGCGGGTTCGTCGAATGCATTGTCAATTAGTTGTTTCAAAGATGCAACAAAGAATTCTTCTTTCCACATGAATTCAAGATGAATTGCGTACCCCATGAAGATAACTTCACTTGATGTAGCTTCGAACTTGAGTCCATCTTTAACCGTCTTTTCCTGGGACCATTCCAGTAGTCGATACGACAACCAAACGGTATCAATGGACCTTTGACGACAACCAAGTTTTCCCCAAAACGAATCTTCCAGGGAGTGTCAGACCCAGTTCTTGACATGACATTCTGCATCATGCACCAATGGAGTGAAGGAGGTGGCCAGTGCATGTGATGTAACCCTGCTTGGTGGAGATTCGCCCTAGCACCTTCAAGGACTGATCTAATGGATCTTTCGGCAATTGCATTGGACTTTGAAATGTACTCCTTACTTAGCACATGTCTCCATTGGAGGTCTTTCAATGCGCTCAGAAGTTCAGGAGCATTGTCACTGTACATAATGCCTACTTCATCATTATGTTCTATGAAGTGCTTTAATGCTAAAACTGCGTCTTTGGCGGTTCTCCTACCGCTGGGGTGGATATACATGAAGTCGGTGGCCACATCCTTCACCACCATTGCGACCTGTTCTCCATCAAGCCCCGCCTCTTCTTCGGTGGCGGCAATCAGAAAGTCTGCAGTGATATGCTCTGCAAATCTTTCGGCGTCAATGTGTTTAGACCCCCCGGATACTCTGGATGGGGGTTTCAACATCTTGGCTTGTTGACAGGTCTTGCAATATGGGTTCTTGGGCAAATGACAAAGTAAATAACTTTAGATTTTGCTTCATCTCTAAGCGCCTGTTCACCTTGGCTCCGTTTTGATGAGAAGTCTACAACAAAGGCCTTTTGTTCCGGAGGGCTGGATGACTCTTTGTCTTCATCCTTTTTCTTGCCCGATAGTTCCAATTGCACAACATCAGGTCTAGAACCTTCTGGTCTAGGCGTTCCCTTCGGGGGATCAACTGAAGCTAGTTCTTCCATCTCAGCTACAAAACCATCAATATCGAGAGGGGGATCATCCCTTTCAATATGGATAATGAACTCCCCTGGATCCCTATCTGGCTCCACGTCGGCGACCGGCACGGCCTCCCGGCGTGCAACCTTCTTGGCAGGTGCAGCGGTGAGACGTCCTGGCTTGGCAGCAAGGTAGGGTACGTAGTCATTCACGGTCAATGGGACCACTTTACCATCTGGTTTCACAAAATATGGTTCCTCACCCTTCGAACCCTTCCAAATGAAATCATAACCATCGTCAATACATCTCATGCCGACTGATAGCACGGCTGGAATACTCTTGACTAGGTATGGGCCCACCGTTTTCCCCAATCTCGGGACAAAAACTTTTCCTTGTTTCATGGATGAACTTTCACCATTAGCAGTCATCATTCGAATTGGATTGGATGAGTATAATACCCATAATCATCCGGCAATTCCCCTTGAGAAACAAGATCCTGGGCACTGCCTGTGTCGGCAATCCAATCGAGCTGCAAATCAATGGATCCTTCTATCATCTCCCTAGACTCGGCAGGGGCGGCAACAATGCCTTTGGGAATGCAGTAATCACAGCCAAATTCGGTATCACATTCATAGTTACATCTGGCATTGATACCTTTCAAAGAGTTCTCAACAGCCCCGGATAGCATAGTGGCAGACAAAGCACAATCGCTAACAGCTTGTTGGTCAATGTCAAACTTGTGACCCCATGGATAAGTGGCTCTATTCTTTGGCTCACTATTGATTATTGGCCACATGTTCCCACGGGCTGCGATCCGGTGCACATCAACCTCATCGGAGAAGCGGATGCCAATGCTTGGACAGCATACCTTTGCGGGATCGACTGCAAAACCACTAGCCACGGATGCAAGCATTGACGCGACCAAACAGACAGCTGCTGGAGTTGCCTTACCACTGCTGGAACTGTTTTTGTTCCCTTTGGGCGATCTGGTTTCTGGGGCTTTTAGGTTTGCCAGGGCTTCTTGATGACTTCCTGCCAGGACTCTTTGATGATTTCTTGTCCCCTTTCTTCCCACTTGAATTGGATCTTGCAGGGGTAGCTTGTCTCGGCTTCCCAGCAGGGCCGTTGTGCGAAAAATTGCACTTGTCGCCCCGCTCACATCTTCCCCTTTTCCAGAAAATGCACTCCTTCTTCTTGCCCTTACCTTTGGGAGATTGGGTCCGTGATGGTGAACGTCCCCGACTTGAATCCCTTTTGGGTTTGGTGGATTGGGTTCTTTTGGATGGAACCTCATGCTTGAACGTGCAATTTTCATTTGTGCATCCTCCCTTGTTCCACTTTACACAGGAACCCCTTGGGATGAACCCTACCTTTCCTTCGACAGCAGGAGCGGAAGGTTTGGCAGTGCCTGAAAGGTTCCGAGCAACCCTTTCTCGGTTGGTCTCCAGGAGTTCACGGTCCAGGTGCCTGCGCACAGCAGATACAAGGAAGTCGTATTTCCTTTTCTCGGTGCCCTCATCAGCTCGATGGTATTCGTTCAAATCATGGGCAATAGCCTTACAGTTCTTGACCTGATTATAGAACAGTGTTTCCAATACTGATTCCTCAGGGACTTTCACAATTCCTGCAAGTACTTGATCCCAATTTGAAATGAACGTCTTCAGGTTTTCCCCTTTCAGGTGGACACTAAACAGGTCTTGGAGGGCATAAGTGGAGCCATGCTTCATGTTCGTACTGAAATGGTCATGCAACATGAACAGAACTTGACGACCCCTCACAATTCTACCCTCATTGGCTTCGGTCTCCTTAAAAGTGTCAACCTTTCGGGCGAAATCTCCCGTGATGATGTTGGTCAGAGCGGACAGGAGTTTGGCATCTAGTGTTGCGAACGGCGCCACCTTCCGGAGGGCTTCAATTGTCTGGCCTTCCTTCCATACCTCACCGATCCATGCGAATGCAAAGTCGGGATTGGTGGATGCCGCGACTATGGCCTCTCTGGTCTTGATGCGCCAGTTCCTATATGTCTCCGGACCCGGGATGGCAGGAAGTTTGATGGTATCTGCTTCCTTAACCTTGGGCTTTTCATCATTGCCACTTTGGTTAAAACCACCCCCCAAAAACTTCTTCATACGTCGGACGAATTTCTCATCACTGTCATCCGAATCCTTGTCAGGATCATCATCTCCTCCTCCCCCTCCATTGCCTGGCGCCTTCTTCTTGTCCTTCTTCTTGTTGACATCAGGCGCAGGTGATGGCGATGGAACGGGTGAACCATCATGATCATCCCCATCATCACCGTCATCCCCCGCTCCAGGTCCTCCATTCCCGTTACCCCCAGGGTTATTGCCGTTATTGGGCCCTTATTAAGTTTTCGACCAGAACCCCCATATGGCACTGTACGACCAGACATTGGGGTATGATCTCCCGAGGCATTGTTCAGGGGCACACTGTGTGAAGGGCCTGGAACAGATCCACTCTCTGCCTGTTTACAGTACGTTATGTTAATGCCACCTGCCGGGATTCGGCCAGTGACCATATCCTCGGTTGCTCCATCTGTGTTGCTGGCATATGGGCCGGATAGCATTGGCGGAGGAGCATATGGCGGAGGTACTGTTTCGGCATTGAAAGGATCATGGAACGGATGCTCGGATGCAATCGGAGGATCAACTGTACACGCCGGGATCGGAGCTGAGATGACGTACGGTTCTGCCATCCTCGTCAAAGTCGCGGTTTCCACAACTTGGACAGGAGGTGGCTGCGACAGCTGAGAGTCCAACATACTTTGGAGCTTTTGGTTGTGAAGACTCTGTTGCATCGCAAGCTCTTCGAGCCTTTTAATGCGTTCTTCCTGTGCACGCTCCTTTTCAGCAGCCTGACTCCGGAGGCGTTCAATCTCGCTCTCCTTCGTGGCCATCGACTGACGGAGATTGGCGTCCAAAATTCTTTGGTACGCCTGAACCTTTTCTGTACACTGAGCCTCGTGGGCACGGACATGCTGAACGGCCTCACTTTTGATGTTCTCCTCGTTCTCCCGCAGAAACATCCTTGCCTGATTGATTTCTTGGGCTTCACGGATTTGTAGCGCTTCCTTCAGACTTCCAGTTAAGGCTTCATGACGGTGATTGGCCTGAGCTTCCGCTTCGGCTATTGCCATGCGATGACGCGCTTCGGCTGTCTGCTCGAGCATTTCCGTATATGCTGGGTCATGAATCTGAATAAGTACCTTGTTGTTCTGCACAAAGTGTTGCTGAGCAATAATCGTCAATAATCACACGTTGATCGTGGTTTACATTCATTTGATTGAACACTCGTAATCATAATCCAGAACTTCCAGTACCATGAACGTTCGGCCCACCCTCCCGGGCAGCGGCTGGCAAAACACCTCGATGCGAAAATCCTGAGTTCTGTGGCATCATCGCGACAGCTTCAGTAAGAGGCGTCCCACCTGCTCGCTGGCTCCTTGATCTCTCGGAGCTTGGAGGGGTTCTTATATATATTGATAGTTTCAGGGGAGTCAACAATAGGTAGCACGGGGTTGGCCATGGCACAAACTACACGGCAAGGAGAATCCCTATCGGCTCGAGGCGGAAGCAATGCCGAGAGCAAACAACTACCTAAGGGGGAAAACTAGGCTATACGGCTGATAACCTGTATTTACAAGCTAATCAGCCAACACGCATCAGCTTTTTCTTGAGCCATTGCAACAGTAAGTATGGAGAATAAATACTATGTACATATACTGGTGCTACCTATAAATAGGGACAATCAGTGTTCTTACGATTAGACTCACGACCTGAACCAGCCTGAAAAGTTGGTCTACTGCGCTTTGTTTCAGGTTTGGGACGAGTAGCTGGGCTACGGCTCCGACCTTTGTCCTTACCTTCTTCGCGATCATCTTGATCCTCTTCTTTGGGTGCCTTCTTGGAAGGTTCATCAACTCCTGAAGAGCTACGTTGTACCTTCAAGAAGACGTTGGCCGTCTCGTCACTGAACGTCGTCAAGCACCAAGGACCAATGGCCGCCATAACTCAAAAGGGAAAGCTTAGAATCACGACTAAACCTGGACAGCACATGCCCAAAATCCGTGACATTCCCAAAAAACATCGGATCCTCATCGCCATTGAGCACGGCAAAATTCAAAGTGTCCAAGGCCGCAGGAAACTGAATCTGAACAGAGTTCAACAAACGGATCAGCTGGGTAGGAATCGTGCTGAGACCTGATGGGGGACTGAATGCCAAACGGCAGAAGGGGTCTTTGAATCACTGGCGGATC